TATTGCAGACTTCTTCTGATGGAACAAATTTGGAAGATGGGGCACAATGCAAATCTGAAAAGGAGGTAATTTACATCGAAGAAATTATGACTTTGACGGAAAAAGAGCGGAGAAAGAAGAGAAAAAGGGTATTTTTTTAATTTGTTGTTTAATTCGTGAATTTTAATCTTTCCTTTGGTTTTATGCACTTTTTCATCATTGACAGAAAATGCAAAAACGCATATTGTGGAAAAATTTCTTGTGTGTGCGGTCTGTTTTTGAATATCTAGATTTTTGAACCTACAAAAGCTATGAAGCTGAAATTTTGCCAACTTAGTTTACTTGTGTAAATGGGTCTCTAAACGAAAGAAAGAATGTTTACGTTTTGTCATTTACAGACACATTAAGAGTATTTAAGATGGGGAGTGATTTTGACGAACCAGACAAGCTAGAAGGCTGAAATTTTAAGAGGATATTCACTGTCCTTGTATGACCCGTAAAAGTAAATCCTACTTTTACTTATGCCTTTTCACTAACGAGTAATCTTTCAGCTTGAGTCCTGTGTAGGAAATTGTAGTTTTACTGGGTAATGTATGCACTGATGATCTTTTAAATGCGCGAAATCATGCAAAAACGCGTGACTGTACCAGCTGTTCTGACGGGCACCAGTTATTTGCAATGCCTTTTATAGTTCCAGCGGTTTTGTGAAGAAATAAAAATTAGATTGGAGCATTCTACATATTATTAGATTATTGAAAAGCTTGGTAATTATCATCCTTTTGGGGAAGGTATGACTTCTGTGATCCTAACTCACAAGCCCTTTGTTCAGGAGATACAAGCAATCAGTATTCCAACAACATCGGATGCTAGTGCTAACAGCAGGAGGAATGCTGAAATTCCTGAAAAACGTACGCGAAAGCCCAACTGGACAAATGCTGCAGAAAAGTGCGACAATCAGGTGGATTATAGCAGCTTGCAGTCGACAGTTTTCCCTAAAGGTATTTTTTAATCTCAAACTTTAAAAGCATGTTCAACTTGCTACACCTTTCACGTAGAGTTGGGCTTTTTTTTCATCAGTGACATTTTTTTTTTCGGAAACGCCACAATGGTTGTGCTGATAAAGTCTAGTTGTGGTGCTGCACAGGAATGTATGCGATCCGGTGGACTTAAACAGGAGGGAGGAAGGAAGGATTGTTTTTTGCATATAAATTATATCTCATGCATATATATGTACATAC